AAATAGCACGGAGGGTTTGGAGTGTCCCTGTCATCGTCAGCTGGATTTATGGCATGCTGCAGTGCCTGCACAACCACAGCCAGTGCTCTAGCAGCTCTGCCCCGTGCCTGGCTTTCCATAGGAGGGTACAGGGCTCACAAAGCAAAGCTCCCGTGACCAGAACTGGGTCAGAAATACCAACCAGCTCACAAGCGCGCAGCCCTCGGTGCTCCGTGTCCACTTGTCTCTGCTCCATCATAACTAGTGGTCTCATTTGCGCCAGGAGCTGCCACCCTTGCTGTCCAAGGCCTGGGGGAGTAAAGAGGACAAGAGGGAGGATTACACCGTGCCCAATCCAACCCCACGTGCTGGGCTGATGACCCCAAAGACTGAATCTTCTGCCTGCCCAGCAAAGAGGCAGTGGTCTAAGCTCAGAGCCGAGGGCAGCCCTGGTTTGGCTGGGATTCGGAGCATGGCTTCTGTCCTGGTGGGTGGAGAGGAGCAGGGATTATGGCCTCTCACAAACTTCCTCAGCACAGTAAACCACACTGAGCCCTTGGCCTTCGGCCGACATTGCCAACAAGTGTCCAACTTTGTAAACCACGTGCCAGCACCAACAGCAGCGGTCTGAGTCGCACATTCACAACAGAGAGCTGAAAAACTTCCACACAGCTTATTTCAGCACCTCCAACTCTTTTTGCGAGAAAACCTTGGAATAGATGACCAAAGTGCTTTTAAAACACCACGATGGTAGGAATGCTGTCCCTTTGCTACACCAAATTATTTGGCATACACAATGCGTTTCCACAATGCTTATGCAGAGCACAGCACAGGCCTGTGTACTACTATATGAAGTAATTAATTCTTTTCTTCATTTAAAAGCCTCATGATTTTTTTTAAGGCAATCCCGTGATGCGTGGGGGCCTGGGTTGTCAGCTTGGAGTGCTAAAATGAATTCAACTCCCATCTCAGACTTGGAAAACACAAGGATCTTTTAATTAGGAAATCTGGGGTTTGTTGTATTTGTCTTCTCACACCTGAAACTTCCGAGTATGCAACAGGCCTCATTTTCTTGCCCCATGAAAGGGGCTGGAAACTCACCGGCCCTTTTCAGAAAGAGACGAGATCCTCGGGCATGAAGTGACTCCAGAACAGAGGTGTTAATGGAGACCCCAGCGCTGGCCCCCTGCCCCTCTCCAGGCCAGGTGGGCAGCCGGCCCGGATGCTTTTCCATCCACTTTGAGACACAGCCCTTCTCCTGGGGCGGCCATCTCCCCCCGCCCCCGCCTCACGATCCCCCTTCCCTGCTGCTCCTGCCCCGGGGGACTCTCCCGTCCCCAACCCCAGTCCCCGCATGGCCTCACCCAGGCTTGACCTCCCTTCTTAGCCCGGCTTGCCTCATCCATCCACCCACCCACCCACCTCCTCCCCATCGCCCCTCAGCCCCTTCCTCCTCCTCCTCCCAGTCTCCAGCCCTGGACCCCTCATCTCACCCCCCTCCACCCTGGCCTACCCCTCACCTCAGCCCTCCTCACGGCCCCACCAGGCGCCCCGCCACCTCCCCGCGCCCCAAAACCTCCTCGAGGAGCCCCAAAACCCAACG